GGAGAGGGAGAGGGAGAGAAAGACAGGCACACAAAGCCATTAGGGGTACACACTTGAATGATGAAACTGTATAGAAAAGTATATAAATTATATCAGAAGAATGTTTATTCTTGGGGAGAGGAAGGAAGGGTGTTATGGTATGGGGGGGGCATATGGAGGGCTTTTGGAGTGACAGCAAAGGTTTATATCTTGACATGAAGGGTAACGAAAAGGTTGTTCAACTTATAATAGCACATGAAGCTGTACATTTGCTTTATGTGGTTGCTAACATCATAAATTTTTAAAAAGGCAGGTAGCTTGATTTGTTAGACATAATGGAATTTAAGGATTTCTACAAAATCTAAGCAGAGATTCCGAGTAAGTATTTGCACATGTAATGCTTCAATTCAGGAAATAAATCTTGTAGTTGCAACTTGTTTAAGAGGTTTTGGGGATTAAGAAGAGATATCATCAATATGAAATAGAATCCCATTGTGGGAGACAACAAATATTTAATGGCTAGAGCCAAAACAGAAACGTACAAAATAGCCTGAGAGGTAGGAAGAAAACTGTAAGCCATTATCACCTTGCTTTGTTCACTTCTGGTCCTGGTAAGAGGGAAAGAAGTGAAAGGCAAGTGGCTTCCTTTGAAGAGCCTGACTGGGCAGTGGTAAGTATCACCCTGCTCACATTCATTGGTCTGAATATATAACCACAGGAAGGCTGGGAAATGTAGTCCCTCATTGTGTTTCCACGAGACCATAAAAAACATGAATCTTCCATTGCTAAAAGGAAGAAATGACCTTATTTAGAACATTCAGGGTGGAGTGGCTTTGAAGTTCTCTGGGAGGCCAGGAGTTAATCATGTGAAATGAAGACGTTGAACCAGGTGCAACGAGGAACAACTATCCTTAATGGATGTGGAGGAACTAGGTAATGGATGTCAGTAAATGAAAGGGACATAGGTTGTAGAGCAAGATGTCGTGGGACCTGAAGAGCGGAGTTTAAAATTGTGTTGAGAAAGGATGACTTGTAAGACAGTGGCAATCTGGAAGGATGTTGGTCTTGCCTCCTGTCCTTAGTATGAGGGGCATGGGAGCTTCCATGGGAGAAACGCACAGGGCGAGACGTGTTGTGGGGAGGGCCAGATTTCTCTTTAGGAAAAGGAAGCGAACAGGGCTGAAGAAATCAACAACACATACATTACAATAAATGTCTTACATAAATTAAATATCAGCTGGAAAAAATACCTCCCACTACGCATTTTACAAGTTGGGATTCCTGTCCCTCTTCTTACTTTGAGGAGAAAAAACAGGATTAAGTCAATTCAGCTCTAGTTCTTAAAACTACCTGTTTAATTTAATTTAAATATTTTTAAACAAATATTTATTTTAAATAAGTTAGTAACATATGTTAGTATGTTTCTATTATAGTAAACAACTTCAGCAGTTATGTTTTTAGAATACGAGACCACTCTTTTATTCTATGCATCTTTACCCAAATATAACAAAAAGTATATTGTCATATTTATATCCATCTAGTTTAAGCTTCCTTGTTATGTACTATATATAACTTAGCAAAATGTTTCATACATGCAAAAATATTTTTTGGAAATATTTAACTGAGAATAGAAGTAGCAGAAACTGGACAGTAATAGTTTATTCTTTAAGAGAATTCTAACGTAGATCTGAAACTGAAGTTTTAAATAGTTTATCTCATAAATGAAATTTCATTACATGGCAGTGGCTTCTCAGGATTTGGTTTGAGAATCGTGTGGCTTGGGGTGATAATGCTCCCTTACCACATGGGTTTCACCTTTACATACTCTTTCAAGACAAGCAAGTGACAACATAGTTTTGAGGGTACATACTTTTTAAAAAATATTTTTGTTAAAATATAGCTAACATACAATATTATATTAGTTTCAGGTGTACATCATAGTTACTCAACAGTACCCACCTGGCACTATACAGAGTTATTACCATATAATTTACTATATTCCCTATGCTAAAGAAGTGATCACCATGATAAGTCCGAAACCATGTGACATTGTACAAGCTGTCACAATATCATTGACTACATTTCCTATGCTGTCTATTACATCCCCAAGACTTATTTGTTTTGTATTAGGAAATTTGGACCTCTTATTCTGCTTTATCTTTGTCCACTTTTTAATTTTTCAATTAGAGTTGACATTCAATATTATTTTATATTAATTTCAGGTGTACAGCATAATGGTTTAATTTTTATCCACTTGTGGTTTTTATATGGTAAACTACAAATTAAAAGAACAAACTTAAAAAGATAAAAAATCATTTCCACACATTAACAACCAAATTTTGTTCAATGAAGAAATACTAGCAGCTTTCTCCTTTAAATCAATAATAAGATAACTAAATTCTAGCCAATAATATGATTATGTATGTAAAACTCAGGGGAATTTATTAAATTCTTAAAATATGTGGAGATATAATATTTCAGCATGAGATGATGTCAAATTATAAAAATATAAGTAAACTTTGGAAGAATTTATGAATTAAATTCAATACCTTTGATTGGGGAGTTGGCAAGTTGATTTTAAAGTAGTTCTGGGAAATAAAGGACAGGATAGAAAAAAAATGTTAGTATGGATTTGTGTTTGAAAAATAATATACATTTTAAAGACGCAATAATTAAAACAATGTACCAATTTAGCAATTATAGATATATACGTCAAAGAACCACAAGAGAAAATGCATGAATAAACCCTAGCATATATCAATTTTTAGTTTAAGCTGACATGGAGAGAATGTGGGTTACTTAATAGATGACACAGGAACCCCCTTAATCACTTGGATAAAGAAACCTTTACTTACCATTAAATATGGATTATAATTATAAAGTAAATTGCGTAGGGAATAAAGATCTAAAATGTACAATAATGAAAATCCCATTTCAGTGATTGCTAAACCACTTTGAGACATAAGTTTGTCATTTGTTACAAGGAATCAGGAAAAATGCCCAAATATGTTTATGTCAGGAGAAATGCTGAGTTATATTAAGTTAAGCATTGTTATTGCTTTGTTTTTTACTGTAGAAGTATACAGAGGCTTTACTATGCTTTGTGAATGCTTAGTACTCTTCATAAATTTTCAAGAAAGGCTATAGCTTGCAGTCCATTTTAAATTAATTTGTTCTGGATAATTTTTGAGAGCACTTCTGTTTCAGTTGGGACTCTGAGTCACAAGTGGCAGAACTCAGTGCAAAGGGAAGATGATGTGAACTAGGAGCATGAACACTGTCACAGCTAAGTCTGTCTTCCTCTCTCTTCAACCTTTTCCTCTCTAAATATATTGGCGTCTATGTTTTCTACAGCAAAATGGACTTTTCCTCCAGGATGAAGAGTGTGGGTAAAGTCTTCTGAGAAACATGTCTTTCCTCCATTAGCAAATGACACTAGTTTAAAAAATTGGAGCAGGAACCTGAGTGACCTGGCTCAGATCATATGCACACCTCAGGTATAAATCATAGGGGTCAGTGATTTATAGGCAGAGAGGGTAAAGTACTGGGATTAGCTCAAACCGGACCATGAGCCGAAATCCATGTCCTGTTCACAGGAGAGTGAAAGCCCAGATATGGCTATACCTCTCCCAGCCACATGCATTAATATTTTCTGGAAGATGGTCCGTCAGTATATATTCTGGGAAATGTTGAATAGGAATAAAATTTTTAATTAAATAGTTACAACATTTTTGAACACTTAATGAGTGCTAACTTAGAATGTGCAAAGAATTATTCTAAGTGCTTTCCATTTTTTAACTTATTTTGTCCTCCTCAAAAACTTAAGCCTCATGACAGTCCTTTGAGTAGGCATTATTATTACCTTCATCTTAGAGGAAATTGAGGCACAAAGTACATAAACATGGTATGGAGTTCATATATCTAGAAAGTGGAAGAATTATGATCAACTCTTATAATCAAAAAAAAGGATTTCATTTTAAAAGATCAGCTCAACTACCCAATATCGAACCCAGTGATTCTGATATAATCTTTTAGAAAACTAGTATTATAAGAAATTCTTGATTGGTAGTAATTTACAAATTTGAAAAATGAGGTGAAAAATTAATTATATGATATTATGTGTATAAAGATTAGTAAACCAAGTGTTGTACTTTCAAAATATTTAGAAGGAATATTTTAGAAGGAAGGCTTTTAGCTTTGATTTTGATTTTTGGCACTACAATACTTATGTTTTTTTTTATTTTTAAGAAGTAGAATATGCATTATTCACTTGTTACATTTATAATAGAAAACATTTTGGTAACTCTCAAATAGAGGCTTAAAAATAATTTGAAATAACAAAGATATTTAGTTGGCAAAGTCATTGGAAATTGATACAAATTCATGAAAATTAATATAAATAGCGAAATGAAAATTTACTAAAATAGACTATTTTACCACTGAAAAAGGCCAAATATGTGACCACTGAGTGAAAGGGAAAATTAAGGTTAAGTCGTATGAAAGGTCTCTACCGTGTTCTTTGTCTCAGACATCAGAAAAAAATACCTGGGTTGTGTGAGTCCTGCTGTTCAGGGCAGTTAAAGTTTTTGTTCTCTTATTCATAAAATAAAAGTTTATTGAACGCCTATTCTATGCTAGTCACCATGCTAGACATGCTAGGAGATATGACTGAATGTCACAGTCATGGTCTTTCTTTTATGGTGGTGAAAGTCTTGAAGATGATATAGGCAAGTAATTTTGAATGTTATATGCATGCTAGGAAAAGAGACTTTTTCCTTCTCCATCAATTCTGAGATTCCAACCAAGAGAAAACAATGCACTATAATAATAAGGGGTGGCTAATAATGGTGAATTGCAATGAAGAAGATACGGTATTCTTATAGAAAATGAGTATATGTTTGAGACAGACTAAAAACCCTCCTGACAGCTGTTTTTGCTATGGATGTGTATGTGTATGTGTGTGTGCACCCATGTGTGCATATAAGTGTATGTGATAGTGTATTCAAATAATCTAAAATAGTATATGCAACTATTCCATTTTAGTTCCTTAGATTTGAATAAATGAACACTCATTAGAAACCAGAAAATAGGCCATATCTGAGGGGATTCAACCAGAGCCCAAGTGGTTAGAGTACAGATCAAAGGAAAATATACATATCATCAATTTCTCTGGATAAACCTTTTCTTCATAGAGTTTGAATACACAGTTATGCATGTGTATACAAAAAAAAATGTGGACACACACACACATGTGTGCACACAGACAATAAATAAATAACCAGTATGAGGTTAATCAAATTATTTCAGTACTGTGGTCAAAGGATATCATTATGAATACCCTAAGAAAGTGAATTCTCAAAATAACTGAGGAAAAGCATTTCTGAGTAAGCAAGCTTTTAGAGAACAGGCTGTTAGTCTCAAATATAGAGGAGAAAAAAAAATGGTGACACTAATTTCAATCAGGTGAAGACAAACAAATTCCTTGTCATGGCCCATCTGACCCTGACCTTCTGGCCTTCTCTACAAGCTGGTTATGTCTTTGTATCTCAGAAGATGTTTACCTGAAAGGTAGAATGTTGATGAGAGTGTTCCAAAACCACAAACCTGAATCTAGGCTGTCTGATCACACAGATAATTTTCCTGGTTTCCCTCATATATAGTCCTCTAAGAATTAGCTGTCTCAGAAATAATAACTCCTATTCAGAGGTGTACAATTATAAGAAAGTAGTCAATCAGAATAGGACCTAAGCAAAAATATCACAATAAAAGAAGAAATCAACATGATTGGGAAAAAAATATCAGCTGAGGAACATAAACCAGTGTTCAATAAAACTGAGAAAAGAGAACAAAATAAAAGCAAGTTCTCATAAAGGATTAGTGAGCAAAGATTGTAGTAAATATGTCGATAATTCTAAGCTAACATCGACTGTATAAGCAATAATAATTTCTAATTTTGAGATCAAAGTAAATTAGATATAATTAAATATTAGATCACAAGGCTATGAAAGTTGGGGTTGGGTGATCCAAACTTTAAAAGTTACTTTTAGGGCCGGCTGAGTGGTGCGATGGTTAAGAACTGGTTTGGGACGTCAGAGGGCCCCGGTTTGGATCCCACATATGAGGGCCAGTGACACTGCCCTCCACAGCTAAGATACTGAACAACAGCTTAACCTGGAGCTGGGCTGCCATGAGTCGTTGACCATGGCGTTAGCTGCAGCCCCTGTGGCAGTGGGTTGCCATGGGCTACCGTGTGTAGCCAGCAGCCAGCGTGAGCGGCCAGCAGCCGCAGTGAGTGGCCGTCCAGACGCCGGCGACTGATCTGCCTCGCCTGGGAAGAACGCAATGATGGTGCCAACTTGGGCCAGTGAAGCAACGTCCTCCACAACTAGACTGAAGAACAAAACGACAGCAACTTGTCTGTTTCCCTTCCCCAATTCCCCAGCGCTGTTCCCATTGCCCCAATTCCCCAATAAAAATCTTTAAAAAAACAAAAACAAAAACAAAACTTTTGTTGTCCAGGAGGAAGTACAAATATAGATAACTTTAGATTTCAAGAGTGCATGTTAAATCTCTAGATGTAACCATTAAAATAATAGAGGATGTATCTTTCTACCAGTAGAAAGAGAAAAGAAAATGGATTAAAAAAAAACACAATAAGAACCCTAAATCAACTTGAAAGAAGGTCCAATGGTGGGAAAAACATAGAAAATGGTCCAATTATAAACATTCTCTAAAATGGTAGAAATGAAAAGGTATGTATCAGAAGCACATAAATGTAAATGGTCTGAATATATCATATACAATCTCTAGATTGTTATATTGCATTAAAAAATAAAGAAAGGCTAATTGGGTTTACTGGAGACATACCAGATATACAAGGATAAAAATTGCTTAAAATTACAAGGATGGGAAAAGATATCCCAAACCAATAAACAACAGAAAATACGTGTAGTTATATTTAAAAACAGACTAAAGAGGCCAACCAGCTAAAAAGCATTACTGGAGGTGAAGAGAAGCACTTCATAGAAGTAAAAGATTCAATTCACCAGGTGGGTATCTCATATATGTACTAAAAAGAATTTCTTCAAAATTATACCACAACATACTATACCACAACAACAAAAGTACTACAGAGCAACTGACCTCCATAATAGAAGGATTTCAGGGAACTATCATGATTTATAGATTAATTAGACAAAAATATCATTAGGAATGTAGATTTGAAAAAAAATGAACAAGCTTGATGTAACGAACATATATAGAATATTACATTCAATAAATGGAAATTACACATTTTTTCAAGGATGTGTTTTTATGGAAATTGGACCATATATTAGGTGACTTGTAACATAATTCAACGTCAGTATTACAGACTATTCTCTCTGACTCCAATGTAGTTAAATATCAGTAAAAAGATAATTTAGAAAATAACTCACATGTTTCAATCTCAAAAACATTTCTAAATAACTCAAGAAGAAAAAAAAATCACAATAAATTTAGAAAATATTTAGAAATACACAATACGAAAAGAAAAACACTTTTGTGTAAATTAGAAGTTCAAAGATACACATCACCCTTATTCTGTAGCTGAAAATAATTCTTGAAAATACTCCATCCAACAGAAAAATAAATCATAATAATAACTTACAAATGTACAAATTGTGTCATAAAAGAACTACTGCTAGGAGTTGATAATAGTAAAAATAGATCTGTGCCTAAAAAATTATAACAATTCATTTTTGCTATGATTATCTATGTGTCATTTCATCAGATCATAAAGTTGGAAAGAAAGTAATAATTCAGTTAGAAATACCTTTCTAGATAGGAAATGACCATTGTATTTATAAGCTCCAAGAGAATCATACTCTGTTTTTTGCTTACTTGAAAAGGGCTTGCTCACGATGAAAACAGTCCCATCTCTGAGAGAAAAACATGTGAAATCATGGCCTGGAGGCTCACACTGCCAACATATGATCTTGTTCATTTAATGAATAAGTTAACTCATGCACTTAACATGACCCTTTTCTATAGTAGCTGGATGAAGCGCGCTCTCTCTTTTCCTTTTCCTCTCTCCCTCTCTCTCTCCCTCCCTCTCACCCCACACTCCCCTTTTTTTTGCACCAGCTGGATTACAGTAGTATTTCCTTGTACTCAGTTTGCTTACTACCTGCCTCAGATGGAAGGTAGACATGTTTCGAGTGCGAGTAGCCTGTCAGGGAAAGAGCGCCCCCCCCAAGTGGGAATAAGAAAACCTTACTCATAACAACAGCTGATGGGTTCTTTAACCTCTCTGAGTCTGTTACTTGATATCCAATCTTACATTAAATAATGCACTTAAAAAGTTTAACACCACTATACACAAGTTATACATTATGATTATTTTTTGAAAGTGTGTATATCATTTTTATCTTCAATCCCAAGTAGCAGATATATAATTGTTTACCAGGTGAGAAAGTAAGGGAACGATTGGGACACATACTGGTTTCCATTGACTGGCAGAGAGCTGCCCAAACCAAGGTAAACAGACAGGTCAGAGCAGGACTAGCCCAGCATGGAGTGACAGAACAGGATGGAAACAGCTGCTTTCTCCAGCAGAAACTGTACTCAGTCTGAAGCCCATATGTTAAGAGTGTCCACCCTTCGTTTAATATGCGTTTCCTTTTGGAGTCATCATCTGCATGCAGTCTATAGACTACCAGCACTGGCTTCAAGACCCTGAAGATAATGTGTACAAAGGAAAAATCTATCAGCAGACATGACTGAAATGGGCCCAAGGCTCTGATGGTTGTGAAAGTGAGCAGTTAGGAGATGATACAAAGGATATGACGTCAACGCAATCTGTGGAGTCTGCCATGCGGCGGTGGGGAGACAGGAAGGAAAGAGGGAGAGGGACAAAGAAAGAGGGAAGAAAGAAGGAATACAATCAAGGCATAATCAGTTCTTCACCAAGATCTATCTTCTGGAGAATATAAACAGATTTTAAATCCATCTACTATTTAAGTTTCACAGTATAATTAAAGAGCTACTTTGCCTCAACAATACATTTGAATTCAAATATTCTCCTTCATATTTGGTTAAGTATAGGACGTTTATTTGTTTCGGTCTCTTACCTGAAGCATAGATCTTCCTGAAATGAAACACGATCTCATTTCTTTTCAAGAGTGAAAAATGCTCATACAAGCTAAAACACTTCTATTTCAAGGTAACATGCTTCCACTGTAATCTTTTATTCCTGTTTGGCAGGTTTGGCATGTTTAGCAATCTATTTTTCATCAAGCCCTGGAGGGTTATATGGAAAAAAAGGAGTTTACATAATAAATACAGGATTTAAGCCAAAAACTTAACAATGAATTAACTTCTCTGTGTGAAACAGAAGTTGTGCCAAAGCATACTGAACAGCAATATCCAAGAAAACAGATTTTTGAAAAAAATAGGTAAGGTGAGCATATTTCTCCTTAAAGTACTTTTGCTCATGTTGTCATGCATTTGAATGTGAGAGTGGATCAGAACAGTGAAAACAGTGATTTCAGTTCATAGAAGAAGAGGTGAGCCCTTGAAAAGGCTACTCGAGCCATTCTGTGAGTTTGGCCATCAAGTTATTTTCTTCACTTCGTTAGGATTTAATATGTTCACATTTTTTTCTAACTTAAAATAATCTCAGTTTTGTTTGCTCAAACTTGGGAGTCATAGTAAATTTCAATTTAAAAATAATTTTTATTATCTAATCATATTTGAAGGAAACCAAAAAAAAAAAAAGAATACTTACAGGGTTAGCAGAAAGTAGATGTGGGTAGGTTGTTGTTGTTCTGGAATACTGCTATTGAAAATGCACACTGTGTGGTGGTTTTGTGGCAACACATGGCACTTTATCATTGGATCCAAGAAACGTGCTTGCTTTCTTGGGAATGTTTTAACCAAAAATATGTTGGGTCACTTTTTTTTTTCTTGTTACCAAAATATATCATGGGATTCTTCTTTTCTAATTTTCTTTTTTAACTTTATATTAGGTTCTGATTTTCAAGACTGATTTTTTTGGATGGAAGGATAGAGAACAGAAAGTTAAGAACTGCATTCACTCTCACAGCTGCTTATAAAAATATATTTATAATATGGAAGGTTCAGAACTGTGCATCCTCCTTCATACTCCTATCATTGTCTAGCGATAGAGATGTGAGAGGTTAAGACAGAGTGGAAGCTTTGCCTAGAAATGGAGGGTGGTGCCACGAGAAAATGATTGCCCCTTCATGTTTAATAATAACCTAGATCGCAACTGTGAACTTTGGGATTCCGGAGAGGTAGAGGGGCTTAAAATTAGCTTTACAGGTATTGATTTTTCCTCAATAAATTTATGTAAAACACTTACTCTCTCCCTAATTCCTAAAATGAGCTACTAATTGTACATAGACCCTTGAAAAATAAGAAATTTTTGTACGTACAAATGTCTTCTCATATATTAGGGTAGACTTGTATACATGTTGAAGGAGAAGCTAAGAGAGCTGGACTGGTTTGAAAAGAACAGTCTAATCTTGGTAAGACTGAAAGATTAGGGCTAGTGCAGTTTGATAGTCATTATTTATTAATGATAAAGGGTACCAAAATGTACCTTGTACTTCATTTTCGTTGAAAATATGTCCTTCAATACCATCTATTTCCTTATTTAACTTGTATGCTCACCAATTTTAGTAGAACGTCCAATTAAAAATAAAGTCAGATGGACAGTTGTGCTATATCTATCATTTCCTTTTTCATGACTTTGTTCTAAGCCTATGAGTAAGCAGTAAAAACTTTACTGCTATGTAGTAGTTTACTCATTTCTCATGCAAAGGCATTTGGGATAAAATGATCCGCCTTCAACACTGAAATTGCAAGAGTTTTAAGAAAAAAAGGCAATCTTTACAATTCAGTTTGTTCAATTTCCTATGTGTGGTGTTACTATAATGTTAGGTTATTTCCTCTATGCTTTTTATTATAAAATGTAAAACTTTTTAACCTTAGATTTTTAAATTGAAGACTAAAGTTTTAAGTGCCTTGGTAGATAGCCTCCTAAAGCTTGCCCGCTGGTCACATTAAGAAATCAATGTCCAAGTACATATAACCTATGAATTTCTTTCTAAACATGTTTATTTCCTCCCACTCTAAAGTAAATATAATTTCTGTGTTCAGAATTCCTAAACGTTTAGACCACACATTCAGAGATAAGTTTTAGGTGTTCTTGCTAATAAGGCTGCAGTCTCGCCACAGACCTAAGAAAGCTGCTTCAACAGCGACTTTGCCAGTAGGAGAGAATTAATAATCACCTTTAAAACTGAATACAAAGAGTTACGATCCAGAACCTTGAGTCTGGCTACATGCATGTTTTATATATGCTCAGCATTTTTCATAACCCAAATGATTTGTATAAACCATTTTGAAAGCAGGGCCTCACTTATGAAGTCAAGAATTCCTACACAGTGTCTACTTGGTGCTTAGCAGCTGCTTGCTGCTGGGTATAGTGTAATGAACAACACTGGGAAGGTGCTGCAACCATGGAGGGTACATTACAGCTTCCCACGGCCAGCCCTGCTGCCTAGTAGAGGGATCTGAGCTAGTTAGTGTCTCAGTGAAAAACAAACCCAGTTGCAGATATGATAATTTGTATATTCCCATTTCAAATTCTAGGAAACTGATGAAGGAAAGGAAACGTCTTCATCACGTTATTTTGAAATTCAGTGCTAGTTGCATTGGTGTTTCTATTAAAAGCCAATTGCTTGTTCTTTCATTCATTTTAGCTTGAGAGGAGTGAAAAAGTGAATCAGTAGAGTATGAAGTCTTTATAAAGAGACAACCTTCAGACCTTCAAAAAATAGTTTGTTTAAAGTCTAGTGTAAAGGAGCAAGAAATTGATATTCCCAAACCTTATACAAACTGAATTTCTTGAGACTTTTTTGTGAAATTAATCCAATCATTTCATTTTATAAAGGTTGTTTAATTGCTAAAGAATAAACGCAGATTAAAAATTCATTAGAGAGTATTCAGTTGGAATAAAATAAAGCGTTAACAATATCTGCTCTGCTGGGGTGCCCATTGTTCATTTGCAGCCCTGCTGAAAGCTGTGGACCAGCTCATTAAACACCATCCCAACCTTCATCCTCATGTAAATGTCTGACCAGATGCTGAAAGCTTCAAGTGGCATTTCCCGAGTCAGGATGAGAAATGGTTTATCCCATTAAGATGTATTTGCACAAATTTTAGGTGGTGGAAGCAAGGGATGTTTGTGTTGTTTTGGATTTTTTTTTAAATTTTTTTATTGGCAAGCAAGATCTTGGTTTCTAAAGCAATCCTCTAGTGTTCGTTGTTCAATTTCCCTTGGTATTGAGAGGCAGCTGTGTCAAATGTAGTGGTGACAGCTAATTCCCAGCTTTCTAGTTTGGAGATTGCTTTTGAAATGGAGTGTTTGTACTCAGGAGTTGCAGTGGTGGCCTCGGTCCCTGGATGTGTCAGCTCTATAGCGTTCTGTTCCAGTTTAGATGCCATCACTTCATTATTTTTGAAAGTGCTTTATTCTCTGTATTGTCTTTCTTTCTTGCTCTAAATATTTAGATTTGTTTCTCAACAGATGTTTCATGTAGTTTGTCAGACTGTGAGTGGTTGCCCAAAATCTGTTCTTAGCCTCTTTCTAAATAGAGTTTCAACTGGTCACATATTTATCCAATCAAAAACTGCCTTTTCAGCTCCCTTATTGATATGTGTAACTAAGTGTCTGAGTTTTAGATAATAGAATTGAAAAGCCTGTTCTATTTGGTGTTCCTGGTTTGTACTGAGAAGGACATTGTATACACTATTCTGGCACCTTTCCCTCTGTCTGATCACTATGTGATAGCAAAGGTAGAACAACGTTTCTTAATCCAGAGATGGAAGTTACATGTTGAGAATGGTAGAAGACTCTGCCAATAGCAAACCACCTACCCATTATTTAATGAGGCATATATTTCTAGTTTAGAATGCTGGATTGTAGACTCTTTATTTTTAAAAAACAGCATCTTAATCTTAAGTAAATCATAATTTGGTTACTAGAAGTGGAACTCTACTGTAATAAAAAAAAAGAAAAATGGTGCATTAGTCTAATAGTTGGGTAATGGGTGGCAGGGGTCCAGATATTGAAGGCTGGAAAGCTAGTGATCCTCACTACTCCATGATAAAACATTTGGCAAAACCATTACTTGTAATCCTTAAAAAGGTAGGCTTCTTGCCAAAACCTCTGAGCTGTTTGGAAAACTCAGAACATTGAAAAAACTCAGAATATTTATAGCAGGGGTTCCAAAAAAAATGTATACAAGTGGACACTTTGGTCAACGTTGCTCAAGCAGTAGTTTGCCATATCAGAAGTGTCTGGACACTGATGGTAACCACTTTGAGCACCTCATGTAATTGCAGAAGTCAAACGTGACTTGTATTCATCTTTTGTTATCAGTATACATTGAATATTGCAATTTTAATAGTTTTTCCTTTCTTAAAACGTGTATACACATTTTGGCACCCTCTGTCTATGTTTATTTTTTGTTGTGCAAAATTCTGCAACAAGATATAACTATATAAGAGGTAATTTTAAAGAAGCAGCTTTAGCAGTAAATGGGCCTCTGGTGTGGTGTCCTCAAGTGCCCACATTAAAACTTTTAAGTTATTAGGGTACATTCCAGTTTCAAAGGTTAGATTAAGAGTGATGCTTTCCTACCTAAATTAATATTTTCAGATCATTTCAAAGTAGACACCATTAAATTGATAGAAAGCAAAAATATGCTGAGCAAAGAGACCAGTAAATATAAAAGGATACTCTGGAAGCATAGAAATCTTGTCTAGATTAAATCTTTGGTTGTGGTTATTTGCTCTTGGATCTGACTGTCAGTAACTAGAGCAAAAGTATACTGAGTTTTTTAGGGATTATATTGATCTTCAAAAGCCAGTGTGTGTTTGACCTTTAAAGCAACCCCAGAAGCCTCTCCACTGGCCTAGCAGAATATAGGCCACAAAATACGTGGAGCCTCCAAGGAGGGAATAGTGTCCAAGTCTCTCTTAAGGAGAAAATTATAGGGTAATCAAATGCTATTGTGAGTGAAAGGAAACATACTTAGAACAACGAATTCATTCATTCAATATTGATATGACACCAGAACAATGAACATAAATCAGGATGGTGACAAGCAA